TAAAATGGACAACCTGGAAGAAATGGACAAATTCTTAGAAAGGTATAAACTTCCAAGACTGAACCAGGAAGAAATGGAAAATATGAACAGATCAGTCACAAGTAATGAAATTGAAACTGTGATTAAAAATCTTCCAACAAACAAAAGTCCAGGACCAGTTGGCTTCACAGGTGAATTCTATCATACATTTAGAGAAGAGCTAACACCGTCCTTCTCAAACTCTTCCAAAAAATTGCAGAGGAAGGAACACTCCCAAACTCATTCTACGAGGCCACCATCACCCTGAGACCAAAACCAGACAAAGATACTACAAAAAAGGAAAATTACAGACCAATATCACTGATGAATATAGATGCAAAAATCCTCAACAAAATACTAGCAAACACAATCCAACAACACATTTAAAGGATCATACACCATGATCAAGTGGGATTTATCCCAGGGATGCAAGGATTCTTCAATATATGCAAGTCAATCAATGTGATACACCATATTAACAAACTGAAGTATAAAAACCATATGGTCATCTCAATAGATGCAGAAAAAGCTTTTGACAAAATTCAACACCTATTTATGATAAAAACTCTCCAGAAAGTGGGCATAGAGGGAACCTACCTCAACATAATAAAGGCCATATACGACAAACCCAGAGCAAACATCATTCTCAATGGTGAAAAACTGAAAGCATTTCCTCTAAGATCAGGAACAAGACAAGGATGTCCACTCTCACTGCTTTATTCAACATAGTTTTGGAAGTCCTAGCCACAGCAATCAGAGAAGAAAAAGAAATTAAAGGAATACAAATTGGAAAAGAAGTAAAACTGTCAGTGTTTGCAGATGACATAATACTATACACAGAGAATCTTAAAGATGCCACCAGAAAACTACTAGAGCTAATCAATGAATTTGGTAAAGTAGCAGGATACAAAATTAATGCACAGAAATCTCTTGCATTCCTATGCACTAATGATGAAAAATCTGAAAGAGAAACTAAGGAAACACTCCCATTTACCATTGCAACAAAAAGAATAAAATACCTAGAAATAAACTTACCTAGGGAGACAAAAGACCTGTATGCAGAAAACTATAAGACACTGATGAAAGAAATGAAAGATGATAAAAACGACTGCAAGATAGACCATGTTCTTGGATTGGAAGAATCAGTATTGTGAAAATGACTATACTACCCAAAGCAATCTACAGATTCAATGCAATCCCTATCAAATTTCCAACGGCATTTTTTACAGAACTAGAACAAAAAATCTTAAAATCTGTATGGAGACACTAAAGACCCCGAATAGCCAAAGCAGTCTTGAGGGAAAAAACCAGAGCTGGAGGAATTAGACTCTGTGACTTCAGACTATACTACAAAGCTACAGTAATCAAGACAATATGGTACTGGCACAAAAACAGAAATATAGATCAATGGAACAGAATAGAAAGCCCAGAGATAAACCCACACACCTATGGTCAACTAATCTATGACAAAGGAGGCAAGGATATACAATGGAGAAAAGACAGTCTCTTCAATAAGTGGTGCTGGGAAAACTGGACAGCTACATGTAAAAGAATGAAATTAGAACACTCTCTAACACGATACACAAAAATAAACTCAAAATGGATTAAAGACCTAAATGTAAGACCGGACACTATAAAACGCTTAGAGGAAAACATAGGAAGAACAGTCTTTGACATAAGTCACAGCAAGATCCTTTTTGATCCACCTCCTAGAGTAATGGAAATAAAAACAAAAATAAACAAATGGGACCTAATGAAACTTAAAAGCTTTTGCACAGCAAAGGAAACCATAAACAAGATGAAAAGACAACCCTCAGAATGGGAGAAAATATTTGCAAACGAAGCAATGGACAAAGGATTAATCTCCAAAATACATAAACAGCTCATGCAGCTCAATATTAAAAAAACAAACAACCCAATCCAAAAATGGGCAGAATACCTATATAGACACTTCTCCAAAGAAGACAAACAGATGGCCAAGAAGCACATGAAAAGCTGCTCAACATCACTAATTATTAGAGAAATGCAAATCAAAACTACAATGAGGTATCACCTCACACCAGTTAGAATGGGCATCATCAGAAAATCTACAAACAACAAATGCTGGAGAGGGTGTGGAGAAAAGGTAACCCTCTTGCACTGTTGGTGAGAATGTAAATTGCTACAGCCACTATGGAGAACAGTATGGAGGTTTCTTAAAAGACTAAAAATAGAATTACCATATGACCCAGCAATCCCACTACTGGGCGTATACCCAGAGAAAACCATAATTCAAAAAGACACATGCATCCCAATGTTTATTGCAGCATTATTTACAATAGCCAGGACATGGAAGCAACCGAAATGCCCATCAACAGAGGAATGGATAAAGAAGATGTGGCACACATATACAATGGAATATTACTCAGCCATTAAAAGGAATGAAATTGGGTCATTTGTAGAGACGTGGTCGGATCTAGAGTCTGTCATACAGAGTGAAGTAAGTCAGAAAGAGGAAAACAAATATCGTATATTAACACATATATATGGAACCTAGAAAAATGGTACAGATGAACTGGTTTGCAGGGCAGAAATAGAGACACAGATGTAGAGAACAAACGTATGGACACCAAGGGGGGAAAGTGGCAGGGAGCGGGTGGTGATGCAATGAATTGGGAGATTGGGATTGACATGTATACACTAATATGTATAAAATAGATAACTAATAACCTGCTGTATAAAAAAATAAATAAAAGAAAATTCAAAAAGAAATTTATTTTTTTTATTGGCCATCAGCAAGTGCTAACTTGGTTTGAGATGGGGCTCTGCTGTGCAAACACTGATAATTTTCTGCAAAGCCATATTGACAGTTACACATTGACAGCTAGTAGCGTTCAGAAAGCCAGCATAAAGAAAACATAAGTCAATGTGCACCTGTGCGTCTTATCATTCCATCAAACAGAGTTCTTTGGCAACATGATTCGAGACTTTTTGATACCAAATTTGGAGTCTGGGTAGAGGAAATTAAGATCAGAGTGTCAGGAGGAAGGGGAATGTGATATAAAAGGCAAAGACTGGGCTTCGGTGGTGATGCAGTGGTTGAGAGTCCGCCTGCCGATGCAGGGGACACAGGTTCGTGCCCCGGTCCGGGAAGATCCCACACGCCGCGGAGCGGCTAGGCCCGTGAGCCATGGCCGCTGAGACTGCGCGTGTGGAGCCTGTGCTCCGCAACGGGAGAGGCCACAACAGTGAAAGGCCCGCGTACCGCAAAAAAAAAAAAAGAAAGAAAGAAAGAAAAAAAAGGCAAAGACTAAGAGGTATGGGTTGCTGGACACAGTTTTTGATGGAGAGTATGCACTGGGGTGCGGCGGGGGTGGGGTGGGGGAGCTTTCAAGCAGCCATGGGGTAAAAAAGAAAGGAATAAGCAGGATAATTTAAAAAGTATTAGCATGGATTATAAATTAGATCTTAAAAATGTTCTTTAAGAGAGACAAAGTTATATATTTTTTAAATTGTTGTTAATTTTGGTTCCCGTATCATGTTTGTTCAAACACGAAATCACACTAGGACTAGATCACATGTGACCAAGGCACTACTCAGGTTACAAAAGTGATGCATTTTTACTTCAAAACACACACTCTTGGTTACACCAGTCATAATTACACAGGTAGTGATTTAGGGAATCATGTAGCCAGGAAGGAGTAGAACAAAGCAAAACTCTTCACACATTATTTTTTTTAAAAAAGTAACTTAAAAGCCTAAAAAGTAATACATTTTATTAGTCAATTCAAAAAGCAATGAGATAGTATTTTCACCTAGCAAATATTTTGGAAAGTATCTACACATAGGAAGTGAATTCTACGTTTTTAATACCCAACCCTCCCAAAACTTAAAAACCCGTATATTACTTGTTGGGATTACAAGTTGAGTCAGAGTTTTTGGAAAATAATATGGCAACATATATTAAGAGACTTAAAACTATTTGTAACCTTTAGTGGAATAATTACCCTGAAACAATAATCAAAAATGGAGTCAGAATATGGCCTATTATATACTAGTTGAAATCAGGTTTTAATAAATATGTAAAAAAGTAAATATCCATATATATAAAATGACTTCTATTTTGTAAAGATATCTATACTATACACCCATGTAGACAAAAGGCTAGAAGGAAATACTCCAAATGTCAAGTTTTATTGGACTGTTAGAATTAGGAATGAGGGGTTTTTTTTCTGCTTTTTAAAATAAAATGTGTATGGGTGGGTATGGGTTTAATAATGTGACAAAAATAAACATTTTAGGAAAAAAAAAAAACTAGTCCATAACCTAAGCCAATCTCATTCACTTTGCCTAGCAAAGGATTCTGCTAAATTTTCTACCAAAGAAACTTGACATGCAGACCTATCAAATAGATTTGTCACTGTCTCTTCAAAGGAGGGAATTCTGTTTCAAATTCATCCTTAGCCCAAAGCAGCTAATTTGATTTTATCAGTCATCAGCAAAGTCCTTACATTAAATAATTTATGCATTTCTTAGCTCCATCCCTACAGGGCAAGATTCAGTACTTAATGGAAACCATCACACCATTAGACTGTTAGAGCTCATCTAACATGTTGGCTTTGAGAAGCCTCAAGCCTGAAGTATTGAGTGGTCACTTAGAGCATGTCTATTTGATCTGACAGCACTAGAGAGGAATGCGGAGGTGGAAACAAGACAAAGAAATCACGATGTGTACATATCAGCCTTGGGATAGAAGGTCTGGAAAAAAAAAAGCAAGGACATGAGTGGCAAAAGCAGGGGCAAACATGATTGTCTGGTGGATGTCCATGGATGGGATATTTTCATAAAAAGTTAGCTAATGCCAGCACCAAAGTACCTCTCCTGGCTGCAAGACCTTCCCAGATCAGCCTCCTTCTCCTGGGCATCTGCTGTCTTGAAAGCTCTTCAAGTATCTGTTTCTCGTTAACGGTCTAACTCATCTCCAGCCTTATCTAAAATCATACATGGTCTTGCTCTTCTGTGCCTCTTCATTTCGCTTTCTTTCTGTTCCTGGCGTTAGAACTGAATTTAATTTGTTCATTGTTAAAGGGCTTTTCATCACTAGATTTCTTGGGAAGTTCTGACACTTGGTGTTTATTCCCCTGACAAGTCGGTTTCGAGGATGAATCAGATGTAGCTTGTCAGGTGCTTGGAAAACAAATCTCCTTGCAGCTAGAGAGTTGCTATGAGTGGTGTTCCTGGCTTTGTTTCAGGATCCAGTGTGATTCTGAGACAGGTAGGGAAATGAGGAGCCATTTTATTTCTAGAAATATCATCTCAGTTTCACGTCTGTTGGCTAGAGTAATAACAGTAAACACACCGCAGGGATGCCTTAGAAGTACACGGGCTCCAGGGATTCAGGCAATGGTCTGTATTAAGAGAGACTTGTAAGAAGCTGGGATAAAATACAGATGCTGGAATAAAACCTTTCTACAGAAATGGCAGAGAGGAAAGGGTCCATTAGATTCCTTAACAAGTCATCTCTCTGTTTCATCTACAGTCTGCATTTCACCCTTTTACCAGGAAGTATAAAATCAAAGAAGGTGAGGATACAAGCTTCTAGTTAGAAGACGAAGTTCTGGAAATCTGACATTCAGCATGGTGATTATAGTTAACAATAACGTATTATATACCTGAAAGTTGTTAACTGAGTAGACCTGAAATGTCTTTACCACAGAAGAGAAATGGCAATTATGTGACATGATGGAAGTGTCAGCTAACACTACAGTGGTTATAATTTTGCAACATATTAATTATATCATATCAACACATTGTATTCTTAAACATTGTATACAATGTTGTATGTCAATTACATCTCAATAAAGCTGGAAAAAAATTTAAGTGAAGAAGGTGAAATCCAGTGTTCCACAGCCTTTATCTAGCTGGAAGAGGCAAGATTGGCCACAATCTCATGAGCAGCTTGACCACTTCTTTGATACCCTGTACCAAAAGTCATGCTGCATGTAGAATAACATGAATGAAAAACACATCCAACATGCAGAGATAAAAAAAGCATAGAATCTTTTTTGTTCTAGAAATTCTCAAATTTCAGGCACCTTTCTGGCGTTTCTGAAGTTGACAGTCCACCCAGCCTTCCCTCTGGCTTGGCTACTGCTGACGGGACATGCACCACCCTCTATTTTCGTGATCCAGCTGTCGATGCCCAGCAGAGTCAGTGCTGTGTTCACCTCCATTCACTGCAGCTTCATCCAGGGGGACCAGCCCAGGGGCACATGTTTCAGCTTATATCATGTCTTATTCATTCATTCATTCGCTTGGGTTGTTTAGGGTTGAGTGGGGGGATCACCTTATTCATGGTCTTTAAAAAATTTTTTACCCATGCCGTGGATTTGGGCTGGATAAATATGTGATTTGGGCTCCCCAGTGAGCTAACCTTCTTGTCAGTGTTACTCAAACACGTTCTGTCGCTATGGTTGTTACTATAAGTGAGGAGCGTCCTCTGCTCACATCTTAGTGCAGAATCTTTCTCTAGCTTTGGTATGCATCCCAGTCAATGGTGGCTTGTTAAAAATGGTCTGAAGTCTGGTGCAGGGATCTGGACTTTAACAGGATTCCCAAGTGATTCTGATGCAGGTAATCTCTTTAATTTGCTCCAATATTGGCATAGTGGTTTTAAAAATCAAAGAACCGGGGATCCACAATTCTTACTGTTTTATCCTGAGAGCAGTTCTCACACTCTATCTTGGTGCCTCATCCCTCTGGGGCATTTTCTGCAACTGCTGTGCTCCTCAGCCCCTAAGAATAGCTCATTGTCTTTCCTTCCATCTGCACGTGGGCATTTCTTAACATAGGCTGTGCCCTGCATTTCCTTTCTATTACCACCATAGCCCTTGAGATTTCTTATATTAAATGCGAGAAAATTAGGATCAGAGAGTCCTGAATTCAAAACCCAGCTCTTTTACTTTCTAGCCATGCGATTTGGGCAAGTTCCATAAGCTTTTCCAGCCTCCTTGTCTGTAAAATGGAGAATGACAACATTATTTACCTCATGGAGTTGCCGTGAACTATAAAAGAGTTACTGCATGCTAATATTTGCTGAATGAATAAAAGTTTGGTACAATGAAGATCCCATATGCTAACTAATCATTTTTAATATTCTTGTGGTTTAATTCAGTCAATATTCTTGTTGTTTAATTCAGTAGGTGTGCATTCAACTCTTACTATGCTTATCATTGCGTGTGAATCGCCCTTTAGGGGAATTTGTCATTTTCTTCCCAGGCAGAAGTGTTTTTAGCCTACATTAACATTTCCTCTTGCCTTAATGTTTCCCTTTTGGATCACTGTCAGTTGTTTCCATCTTCTCTTATAGCTTATCCTTTAAACTATTTTGCTAATATTTTTACTTTTTTTCCTTCTTCCAATTCAGCATATCCCAATTCTTGCCACACGTGCTGGAAAGAGAACAGGACCCTTTAGTAAGCAAGTGACGATGACATATACAAGGTACATTCTTTCCTTTCAATTAAAAGGCACTCAGCTAGGGCCTCCTGCTAATAGGGAGGTAAATCAGTCACATTTCTGAGAAACAATTAGTTACACTTATATTTTCATTGAATTTTCACTCCTCCAGTTTCACATATGTTGCCTGCCACTTTCCTTTTTGCTATCTCGTGCTTATGTAATTTTTTCCCCTTTTTTTCACCGTTACCTTCTCTTTTGATTTAAATTAAGCTTGGTTGGTCTTTCTTTGAAAAGAAAACACAAGCTTGTTGGCTTGGGAGGTTTTTTCAAGGCCTCTCTGCTCTAGTAAAATCCTACATACGTAGGTCCTGCAAACCAACATTATTTTTGCTGTACAAACACCACGTGCATGTTCTAAGACATGAGCCCTCTGTGTAAGATCCTTTCACACATGCAAAAACAGCTGACATGTCAGCACTTCCATAGAGTGAAAACAAAAGGATACTGGTTCAGAAAGGTCAGGGCTATTCTCCTGGGGTGGTGCATGGCATACCTTGACTTTCATCCCCAGCATGAGCAATATGATGCTGGATACTCCAATTTTATACACTCTTATACATAGTCTGCTCCCAAAGATGTGCCTCAAATTGTGAATTCCTCCAATAGAACAAGTGTTAGTTTTCTATTGTCATGTAATTATACTACCACAGACTTAATGGCTCAAAGCAACCAACATTTATCATCTCACAGTTTCTGTATGCCAGGACTTTGGGCATGACTTTAGCTGGATCTTCTGATTAGTCTCAAAAGACTTCAGAGTTTTGGCACGGGCTGTGGTCTCACCTGGGACTTGTGTGGGTAAGGACTCACTTCTAAGCTCACTTAAGTTGTTGGCAGAATTCAATTCCTTCCTCTGGAAGGACCGAGAGCTTCTTGCTGGCTGTCAGTCAAGGATGTCATCAGCTCCAAGAGGCTGCTCACAGTTCCCTGCCACATGGGGTTCCCCACATGGCCTCTTAACACCTCAAAGCTAGTGAGGCAGAGAGAGAGAGAGGGAGAGAGAGGGAGGGGGGGAGGGAGGGGGGGGGGAGGGGGAGGGGGAGGAGAAACGAGCTGTATAGTAACAGAAGCCTATAAAACTCAAATGCTTTATGATCCTATAAAGTGTGTTTCAGCAGAAAGAAAATAAGACTAGAAGATCATACTTTTGAGCGCTAACGGTGGGTATATCTGGGTGATAAGTTATGAGTAATCCTCTTTACATTTTTACACATTTTTACATTCCAAATGTTTCCAATAAGCATGCAAGAGCTTTGATTTTAGTTTAACATTCAAACTAATAGAAGCATGTATTTTAAAAAGGAAAATATCACCCCAAGGCTTTAAGATAAAAGCAGCAGTCTTCTGCAGCTCCCCATCTCATCTCCGAATCCCACTTCCCAGAAAAGGAATTTCTTCTGGTGCACTAAATAAGATAAATATGATGCTATTTCTTTTCTTTTTTTTTTCAGTTTTAGATACTATCCATTGACTTGTTAGAAAGATGAAAGATGAAGATTTAGTTCCCCTTCCCCATTCACCCCTTATATGCATATATTTCTCTTCTCTCCAAATCCCCAATAAGTAATATATTTATGCATGATTAAATATAATAATAATTATTATCATTATTGTAAGTGCTGTTCATTGATAGCATATATGGTACTATGATTATGTGATTTTTTTTCTATAGAACTCTCTGTTTTTCTTGGAATTGATAATTGCCTCACTTTTACCTATCTTTTGTTTTCTATCTACCTAGCAATAATTCATCCTCACACTCACTAAAAGAACTCTTTACCTCCTCTCAGCATGGCCATGCACATCAGCTAAATTGACACCTAATCCTCCAGTGCTGCTTTTAGAAGACTAATGCCATTCTGACCGCTGATTCTTTATACGAGACTCATTATTCTGTCCAGAGGCTTTTAGGATGTTTTCTTTATTGTGATGCTTCAAACTTCATGATAATCTACCTTGTTGTGAGTCATTTTGTATTCATTTTGTTGAACACTAGATGTCCCTTTCAATCTGAAAACTTATACAGATCTAAGAAATTTTTCACATTGTTTTGAAAAATTTCTCCTCTTACTTCTTTCATCAACAGGGCTTCAGGGTTTTTGTTTGCTGGTTTGGTTTGATTTCGCTTTGTTTTTACTCTTATAGAAATTCTGCAATGAACAACCTCGGGCATACTTCCTTGAGCTCACTGGTAAATTTTTCTGTACAGTAAATACTGAGATACAAAGTAAAACTTCTACGTTATAGAATATATATATTTTCAAAGTTCATGCAGGAAATGCACGCTTCCAATATGGAAAAAAAAATCCTCAACATAATTAGATAATTTTTTCAGTGCTTAATTATAATACGTCCACATGACAATATCATATTTTGCTTTTTATAATGCTCACAACTTCATTTTTTTTTTTTTTTTTTTTTTGTATTTTTGCGGTACGCGGGCCTCTCGCTGTTGTGGCCTCTCCCGTTGCGGAGCACAGGCTCCGGACGCGCAGGCTCAGCGGCCATGGCTCACGGGCCCAGCCGCTCTGCGGCACATGGGATCTTCCCGGACCGGGGCACGAACCCGTGTCCCCTGCATTGGCAGGCGGACTCTCAACCACTGCGCCACCAGGGAAGCCCACAACTTCATTTTTGACATCCTCCCCCAGCCAGTTTCTGAATCTCTCTTTTACAGAGGAAAGAGCAGGTAGAGCTAGTTCATAATCCTAGCTCTACCAATCCCTAGCTGCACGACTCTCAGCAAGGCCCTCTCTGAGCCTCAGTTTCTTCATGTGTAAAATGGAAATAATATCTATTTCCCAGTGCTATTGAAGGATTAAATGAGATGCATCTAGCACAGTGCGAAGCACACAAAAGATGCTGAAAAAGATTAACTCCCTCCCCTTAATTATCAATTCTATGCATTTAGAGACAATGGAATTAGCACCTGTGTTTAGAGATGCAGCTTAAATCCACACCATAACTACAATAGGAATCTACAATGATTCCAACAAGACCCAGGTCTACATGTCAAAATCCAGATATTCCTTGAAGGTCATCTAGGGCCTACTGCAAACCCCGTCCCAAGAAGTAGAGCCTGGACAGTCCCTTTAGAGTGAGCAACCCACTTTGTATGTCCTAGCACCCTCCTACTCCCTGGAGGGGTTTGGGATTGTTCCTTTTCTACCCTGATGGACCTCTGTATATTTTTCAGCCAGAACAGGGGCTCACAGTCAGGGAGAACAGCTTCTATTCCATAATTCCTTTTCCTGCCTCATTATCCAATCCATTTTTATGAAGCTTCATGGCATAAAGTGACAATGAATTAAATGATTATTGCTTATTTGATTATATCACAACTCAGGTAACAAGTATTTCTTGAGCACATGGGATCTGAGTCTGACTTTGTAAAAGTGAGTTTCCTTTCCTCCCCCTTCCTGACCCTTTCTTCCTTCCTTCCTCTCCTTATGCTATTGAATGGCATGCATCCCTTGCTTTGCCTCTAGCTCTCTATCCATGCCAGTGGCAGGGGATAAAGTGGAGAGAGTATGGTGGCATCTTGCCTGTTTACTGCTCATGTCTCTACATCTTTCCCTTGACCTTGCCACCCCAGAATGTCCATACAGAGTCTGGCAAAGAAGCCAGATACCCAGTCCCACGTTACAACCTTCATTAGTGACTTATCCTTATGCTGAGGAAGTCTGATATAAACAGGCCAAACCAGAGCAATCCCCACAGGAGCTTTAGGCGAGATCACAGGTCAGGATACATGGGGAGGATGGGTGCATAGGGACAACCTAGAACTGACTTGACCATACCCTGTGTTCCAGAATGTCTGTCTGTTCATCTGTGTTTCTTGGCTTGACAAGACCAGTGGGATGACCTTACTATTTCTACTGGGTATTTCAGAAAGCAGTCAAAAAACATTTGGCAAGTGAAGCTCAGTCCCAACTCGACGTACTGAAAGACCTGATCTATGTGATTCATCCCTTGAGAGAAATTTACTGAATACCTCTTATGCGTCAGGCATTGCACGTGGGGTTGGGAGACCCTTGTCCATGGTACATTCCCCTGCCTGACTCTCTCAAATCCACAGTCACGCCTATTTCTACTGCAGTGATAAAGATTGAAATTCTAGTTTATAAACTAATAAAAGCTGTCATTTATTGAGCATTTATAAAATTTCAGACACTATGCCAAGTACTTTGTCTACTTATACATCATTTCATGTAATCCTCATTTAAGCCCCTTGAGATAGGTACTTTATCTTCATTTTAACAGATGCAGAAAATGGGTTATAGAGAGGTTGAATAACTTGGCCACAGACACACAGGTAGCAGGTAGAGATGCCAGGAAATGTGCTTTCAGTTTATGCCTGCAATGACCACCTGATTCTCCTGTCTCAGAGATCCCATTTCTCTTCAATACTAAAATTATAAGGATCCTCTTAATCTTAGGGATTCTCATCTCTTTCTAAGTTCTGCTTAAGAGACTTATTTCTCTCAGAATCTCTATTTTTCTAGGTTTCTTCCTAGATCCTTTTCCCATCCTTGAGTTATTTCTCCTCCAAACCTTCTCTTCACTAAAGCAGGATGGGTTTCGGTAACTCATGGGTAATCTTATTCTTAACAAAAACCATGATGGTTCTTTATATAGGATTTCCAGAAACTGAAGAACATTCTTTTGCTAATCAGCTTCTTGACCACAACAGGTTCTGTGCAGGTATGCCTTTTGAAACAACGAACTGGCAGTTCAAAAATGGCTTAAATCAAATCCCACACAAGCAAGCATAGTTTTACACCCTGAGATCATTCTGTTGTCTGTCCTCTCTGCTTTGCGTAGAGGCATTCAGAACCTCTAGCCTGGGGGGTTTCCATAAGTCACCCTCACACAAAAGGATGACACTTGAAAATCACTCTGGCTCTGCTTCATCTGTTACCTGGCTTTCAAGATAAAGAGGGGGAGAAAAGGAGGGGAAACAAATCATCATTGATTCATTTCAAGGCATGTAAGCAGAAAAGTCAGACTCCTCCCATTGCCAAGTATGGGACAGAATTAAATCTGAAGCCTAATCTTAAATCTGATAAAATGGCACTCATAAGCCCATCTGTTTGTGAGGAAAACACAGTCCATCGAGATGCCCCCAGAAGCGCATAAATTCTCCGATGCCCAAAGTAAGAGTGTGTTATAAAGATCTAATTTTTTCCCTTGTCTATGGGTCTAGCCTAACTGACCCCCACCCACCACCAAAAAACAAAACAAAGCAAAACCTCACAGTAGTTCACTTGTTAGTCACAGCTCCATTTATCTATGGGACAGCTTGAAACAAGGGCAAGTTTTGCCCCATTAATCATATACAGGTTACTGTATTTATTATTTTCTTTACGAATCCAGTTTTAATACACTTGTCCATCTCCATGGAGCCTGCCACTGTGTCTAATAGCCTTTGATAGTCCCAGGTCACAGGGCACCTCGTTTCCAATTTTTGCATTATCCTTCCAGCATGGCATAGGAGGGACATCTGTAGTCTTTGGGAATTAGCAGCCTAATAGAATTCCAAAGTGTGTGTGTGTGTGTGTGTGTGTGTGTGTGTGTGTGTGTGTGAATGAAAATGATTTTCTCCATCCAATAGCGTAATATCTTGGTTTAATGTTACCCATGTAAGGAAACCGGAAAGAAATTAATGGATGAATTTACTATCACAGTTATTATCAGGTAACCACAAGCCCAGCTCTGGTTTCATGACCAGTACTAAATCTATACTTGGCAGGGTTTCATCACCAATGGGAAATCTGACAAGCAGGCAGAGAAACCAATAGTATTTTAAAATGTTTTTTGAATTACCCTTTCAATATTCAAAAATCAGTTTATCTAAAACATAGTAAATCTTATCTTCTGCACAAACTTGTACTCATGACTTATTTCCCATACGCGTGGTAAATTAGCAAAGCATGCTCTACATTTGCTGACCTTTAATAAAGATAAACTCTCCAGGGGGATAGGAATGAGCTCTCCTTTGAAAATCCATTCCTGGGTTTCTTCTGGCCTGGAATGCAAACTGGGTGCTCTCACATTTACAAGCAATTGTTTGTGAGGGCCCCTAATCATAAAAATAAATCAAAGGAGGAAGTCCTATATCTTTATAGAGAGAGCCTTGAATTAGCATAATGCTATACTGATTAGAAAAGGAAAACATATTTTTCTTAATTTTCTCTCTCTCTCTCTCTCTCTCTATCTATATCTATATATATATTCCCCCCCCCCGCCCCCCAGTGAAGTCTGGCTGAAAGATCTCCTTACACATTAAGTGATCCAGTGGGGAATTAGTTTGGCTGGAATGCTTGCTGGAGTTTTGATAATGAAACTGCTGCTGTGGCTGCATTTTGTGAGTTTCCTGTTGGGTCTTCACACACACAAGAAGTCACCTAAAGAAATAACTTGAGGGCTAGTAAAGCGCAAGAACAAAAGGACCCTCAAAAGGACTCAGAGCTTGAAAGTTGCAGGATATATTTGCATTAGTTGTTGATTTGAGTTTTATGTCACTTCTCTGATGTAGATGCTCCAAGAATTGGTTTTCATGTTTTACAAGGGAGCAAACTGGCTGAAAGGGGACCAGCGGCTTGTTCCAGACCAACTCTACCAGTGGTGACAGAATCACAGTTAGAACCTTGGTCTCTCATCACAGATGTCTCAAACACACAGAGGAGGTCTTTGCAATCCAGCAAAAAGGAACAACCATCTGTCTAATGCATCTTAGTATCCCCAGCTTGTAGTCTGGAATAAGCGCTCAGAAAACAGTTGCTAAATAAATGAAAGAAGCAGCAATTTGCAAAGAGGAGAAAAAAGCAATTATGGCCATGGTGTGCCACGTTCTTAAGCCTCTCCTCCATCTACCGCAACCTAACTCATCGTCACTCACATGGCTAGTTTAAGGAAAGCATGACTGGCCTGGTGTGTTGTGGACTTTGTTATAAAACACAGACCTGCTGTTTCAAAACTGTCTTCCAATGTCCGATTCTCAGGCTTCAGGCACTCACTCATGTGCACTGCATGTGAACCATCAGTGACACTGACATGGACCAAGCTGGGAGCTGTAATACTCATCAGCACTTACTTCCAACAGCATTTGCATTCAGCCAAACAGAAGCGCTAAAACACATTCGCACCTAAGTGACTACAGGTCCGTCAGTTAAATGTCAACAGGAAGTATCAGACAGGGATTAACATATTACAAACTCTAAGCAAAAAATCACTCAGATTTCATGGGTCTTCAAGGGGGGAGAAACAATAGCTATTTTCTATTATTATTTATGGCTCAAGACTATGTAATATGTGATGCCATTTCTTGAAAGGGCCTCAGGTCAAACACTCTAGAAACTGAACTCTGTGCAGTAGATACTATAATTGGCTGGAATTTTCATCATTAATATATTTCATGTGTCAGGATGGAAGTTTGAAGCTCTTTACCTGACATGGGTTCCATTTTCGTTATTAGTATATTGCTAACCCCATTACCTAAGAGTAATGCTATTAGGTAATGAACCATAAGGGAAAGGTGGGTTGTACAAATAAAGAAGGGTATCCTGGGATGAACTATTCCTCCATTTAAATATAAACTGAAACAATCCACTCCTTTCTCCAACCTCTAGACCATAGTCAAATGTTTTTTTTAAAAAGTGACCTGTAACAAAGATTATTTTAAATAAGCAAGTCCTTGCTCAACAGTCGAAAGCTTTGGCTGTACCACCCATTCATGCTCATGCCCTATATTCCAGGCGTGAGCTAAGAATATTATAACTCACATACAAACCTCTCCCTTGCCCACCATTAGAATTTTAAGTCCCAGGTGAAGACTAGCTCTCTAGTTGAGTACAAATTTCAGCTGGATTTGGAAAAATCCTTTAAATAGATCTTTATTGGTTTTTAAGAACAGGGTTATTTTGTGTTAATAATGGGCATACATTAGGCTTTAGATAATTGCTTTATGTAACTTAGAGTTTTGGCTTTCAGCTAAATAAACACTCTGTGTGTTCACAGGTGTATTGTCCTCAAGGGCACTCCGCCTTTAAGGGTGGCAGCTGTTGCCAAGGTGTTGCTGATACAGCCCAGTATAATTTATTGGAAACAGGTGCTAGCTCATGATGAAGATAGACAGGAAACTAAAGCAGACAACATGTTTAACCACCATTAAAAAAGTTCAGGTTCAGAGAGACAATGTGTCTGAGATGTTTGGGGGATGTTGCCAGCATCCCAGTGCAAGTTTAAAAGCTCCTGCGGATCAGCATAAGGAAGAAATTGTACATGAATTTCAAGCAGCCCAGCCTAATGAGTGCCTGATGCTATGCTGCCAGATTTAATTGATTACATGAAAAATTTTTCGTTTGTGTAAGGCTAGCAAAAAATTATGAAATACTTTCCTAAGCTAATTGTTAAAGATTACTTTCAAATGAGGTAATAACTGTTACTTTTCAATGATCTGGACAGTGGATTAGGCTATAATATGTTTTCTTTATGCTCAGAGTATTTGTTTTGGATTCTGTGTGTGGATCCTTGAGCGTTGGGAAAAGCCCAGGATTCATGTCCACAGGGCATTGGTACAGGTTAGGGCAATGAGACCGGAGACGGGATTTAGAACCATGAGATACAGATGCTCACCCTCTTTCTCTGGATATTACTCTGCTATGGAGCCAGTCAGCAGGCTTGGGGGTGGCTGCCACATTCAGTCTTCTAGCCCCATGGATGAGTGGGAATGGCCTGAAGTCTCCTCACTCTGGGAGTGGGCCGTGGGGGGCAGGGTTTGCCTCAGGGCTACCTCTTACTCCCTAGTAAAAAGAGGAGACAAATCAACTCACGCACTGTAAGACATTCGCCCCGTGAAGAGGCATTTGTATATTTTCCCAACTAATCTCCAGTCTAATCGGCGTGCTTCATAATACACATGTGCAATAAATATGCATACTAAATACAGCTGAAAAAGAAGTTGCTAAGAGTGCGTGCACAGTTTTTCAACCTCAAAAACCTAAATATCTTGGCCATTTACATGTTTAAAAAATACCCACAGGCATTAGACCACATTACGGACTAATGGCCTGCCAAATTTCATTTTTGGGAAAAGATTCTACGTTTGAGTTACAACACACGAGTGTAAAAAGAGCAACTGAAACAACAAAATTTGGTTAAAAACATTTCTTGACCCCCCAGGCTCAGCCCCCGTGTGCCAAAAATGTTGACAAAAATTTATACCAACACCAGCGGGCATGCACAGTTTAATATCTACTTTATGTGAAAAATCATTGACAATTTAATGCTTGCATTAATTTGAAAGAATTTTATGCAGTAGGTAGAAACTTTTACATTACCATCCCTAATCTCTACCAGCCGTCTTGTTCCCTTCTCAAAGGGGAAGTGACTGACAGGGCTGAAAAAACCGAATCTGCTGAAGGGCCCGGCCAGCTGCTTTTATCACCTTTCCAACAGCCCCAGCCCGGCCTGAGATGCAGGAATTCGGTTTGCATGCTGCTCAGAGGTTTCGCATAGGAAAGCAAATAGCTGATGTAAAAATAAACCTTTATTTAAAAAAAAACTTTATAAGGCCCCTTTATTTAGAGGGAGAGTCACTCAAATAAATACACCGTTAACAAACTTCTATAATGAATAATAATATATACTGTAGCAAGTGATGAAATGGAATCCCACAAAACAAGTGCTGAAATCCGATGATTGATTATCAAGCCTATAGGATAAATAAACCTTCTCCAATTAATAGCGAGTCTCGGGGATGAGTTTCTGGAGAAATGTCCTGCAAGGAAAAGCACCAGTTGCAGACAGTCAAATTTTGAATTCAGCTGGACTGGGCTGAAACGTGGCTCTCTTTCCAGTGTCATTACGAGCTTGGGGTGTCACAGTGAGATGAGTCCAACGCACTGATGGAGAAACGTGTTTTCTCCATCTGAGCTAATGAATTACCTGGGCCATTTGGGACCCACGTGTCTAACTATCAGAAGAAGCTATTTTTAATTTATGAAAAAGGGAATTGAAAATCGACCTGGTTTCCTTGAATGTGTTTCTTGCCAACAAACCAATGAAAGCACCCATTCAGAAATTTTTATTCTCTAGCTTTGGTTTTCTAACTTTGCATCCTTATTCTTCTTTCCGAGTCAATGCAGATAGCCCAGTCAGAAGTTTCTTATTGATTTTGGAAGGGAACTGACTTCATGTTTCTAACCAGCCATGATCTGATGTCTCGGCAGCAGAGTTATGGGGAATAACAGCTAATGTGAAATCGCAGATGGCCAGCTATGCTCCTACAATCTCCCTCCACATCATTTAGCAGGGTCTTCATTTTGAAGCAATGGATGAAATATCTATCCAGGGGTTGCATGAATGCCGCTTTGTGACTGTGCTTTATCCTTGATCTTCAAATAGGGACGTTTCCACTGAAACAACCATATGTGTTAGACTAGAGCTATGGACGTCAGGGAGAATAAACCTTACATATCTATTGCTCCATCCATCCATCCATCCAACCACCCATTCAATCTAATTGTGTCCTGTTTGCTCAGTTTCTTCTTATAAGGACAGCCTTACGCCTACTCTCTTCTAGGGTGGTGTATTAGGCGTGTCTTTTTATTTTGATTCTTTGACATCTTGGGGCCTTGTTGACACTGGAAGGGACTGCTCCTCCACAGGTTCCTAGCTATGGTAAGCAACTCATCAGAGAATGCACCTTTACAGGCAAATCAACCAGTGTGAAGCCCATACCTCAACCACTTCTCACACTGGGGCCACTATCCTCCTGCCCTACTCACCCCAGGGGCCAAGTATCAGACAACTAAGGACAGCCCCAGTGCCCCAGAGTTCGCCAAGATTATTCAAAGTAGCCAATCCAAAACCCACTTAGCTTCCTTACCCTGCTTCACATTCCTTCCCATAGAAACACCAATAAAGTTTCTTGCCCACTTTTTCTCCTCACTCCCTCTGCCTCCTGACTGACACTGGTGCTTCCCTATGTAGCCCTGCATGGTATGGCATATCCCCTCCTCTTGGGAACTGTAAGTAACAAACTATCTTTTCAATGGCAGTTGTGTCCTCATCTGTTTGCTTCATCATACCTGAATAATAATGAAACCTACGTTTCCAAACAGGTGGGATAAATACATATAGTTTCCTTCAGAGCCTCAAAGAAGTTCTGGTAGAATGGAACAAGTCCTGAAATCAGAGGTCAAGAAACCTAGTCCTGGCTACATCATATGCATAACTGAGCGGTTTGGGCCAAGCCATTTGACCTTGCTAAGGTTCAGTTTCCACTTTCATCAACCTGGACAATTCCCATTTTGCTAGATTTTTATAAAATTCACACAGGGTTGCATACATGAAAGACACAGGCATGTGATAGGAACAGAATTGAATCTGTTATTATACCCTTAAGAATCTTGTTCTTTCTTGCTCAAGTTTTATAAACACTGCCCCCCTTGGGACACTCTCCCTGTGCATTTTGCCGGTGGGGACCACAGGGGCCCATTTTTATGCTCTGAATGAGTAGTAGAGTTCAGGATAGTGGCTGAGAGCCCAGAAAGTCCAGTCAGATTTCTTGGGGTGACTGCACACCTCACTGACTGGTGGTCATCGGGAAGTTACTATGCTTCTCTGGGCCTTGGTTTCCTGATCTGTAAAATGAAGATAAAATTCCCTACTTCATAGGATTGTTTTGAAGATAAAGTGAGTAACACACTTAGAAAATAGTGGGTGTTCTGTGAATATGAGTAAGTAGGAATAAAAGCAGGTATGGGGTAGTAACAGTATTACAGGTAGAAGTACAAGCAGACCGCTCATGACTGCAAATCACAATATGCTCCTTTGGTTGCCAAGATGCCGCTTCTTGGGTCAACTGCCTCATAGGCAATGGGGCAGCTGGTTTAACCAGACTACTTTAGACATAGACGTGACACACCTCTTAGCTAAGTCTAGAACTCAAAGATTATATGTTGATAGAACTTCAGGCTTACACCATTTTACTGTTATGAATGAGATTTTAAAAAGCAGTACCAAGTCCTGCAGGTTTATGAAATGACTATACTGGAACATCTGAACAAGTTTTTAAGAAAACCTGATATTTGAGCTGAGTTTAACTGAGGCCACTTTGAGCCAGGCTGTCCTTCCATTCAATTATGAAAGCTGAGCTTCTTCTCCCTTGCTCACTGCTCAATTCTTTTTCCCCTCAAGCAACTTTCTCCTGGTAGATATTTTTAAAGTATGCTGGGCAATAATGATAAATAGTTCTCATAAATACTGGAATAATAACAGATAAACAACTGAAATGTGTAAACGCTGATTGTAGCAGAAGCTCATGGACTTCAGAGTTAACCTGACCTGCTTTTTTTTTTTTTCTGACCTGCTTTTGAATTTACACTCCCATACATTCGCACGACATTTGCCTTCCCTGAGCCTTGTTTGCACATCAATAGAAGGATAGTAGCAGGCTGAGCTTGCAGGGTTATAACGCCCGGCCGCATAAGAACAGCAACCACGACAGTTAATACTCATGGAGCACTTACCACTAGCCAGGCACTGTATTAATTCATTTTAACCCAAGCAACAACCCTGAGGTGGTTATTATTATTATCATCATCACAGTATACAGCTGAAATTCCTCAGGCACAGAGAGGTAAGGTGACAGCTGCAGCCCGGATATGAACCCAGGAGGCCTGGGCTGGAGCCTGTGTCCTTATCCACCCAACTATGGGGTCTCCCACAAATATCTCCTCAGAGTGGTCAGTGCACATTTTTCTTGGTTTCAAGTTGCTTTGGGGGCCCCTCTGGCACAAGGAGTGTGAAGACCCCTCCCATCCCATCCGACCTTTTCCTCTCATGGCTCCACTGCCACCCACCCTCACTGCTAAGCCCCTTCTGTCATCAGCTCGTATCTCTAGAAACACAACACTCCCTACATTTTCAAATTCAGGCTTTGGGAGCTGGTGAAAATGGGGGAGTCCAAAAGGCCAGGGAGGGAGACGGCTGCCTAGAGAAGGGGCCCAGGGAAACTTGGAAGCAAGGCCAGTATGAGTCAATCAGTCAGCAAGTATTTATTTAGTGCTAGGCAGCTCGGGGGATACAGAGAAATTATAAGACGCCATCCGGTCCCTGGCTGGATTTCTGGCCGGGTTCCCCGAATAAGAACCAGGCCCGGAGCTGGGGCCTGTCCAGCCCGTGGAAAGCTGCCATGGTTTGTGAGGCGGGCTGCCCTGAGGAGCAGCCCCCAGGGCTGGGTAAGAGCAGGAGTCCCTGTCCCCACAACGCCACACACCAGGAGCGAGTCATCTCACCACCCTGGACCTCGGTTTTCACAATGTAATCTGGGAATCATACCAGGACTTGCCCAGTCAGGTGTGGCCAGGTATGGATAAACTGAGGCATGGAAAGTGTTTAGCCCAGGGCCGGCACATAGTACGCTCAACACATGTGGTTTCCTACTAAGGGGCAAGGACTGCACAAGATGGTAGAAGGAGGTGTGTTCTGGAAGCCGTTTGTGCCCCGCCTCACATCCCCAGTCACTGCTGTGGCAGCTGCTCAACCTGGGTGTACCTGACGGTGCTTCTCTCACATTCTGCCCGGGGGCTCCCCTGACAAGGTAGGGGTGGTAGTGGGAGAGACTGAAAACCTTTGGGGATCCTTCACCAGCAGGGGACAGAGCTGGTGGAGAAACACTCCCCATTCCATCCTTCAGGTGGGCAATACTGAGGTGTGTTCCACAGGCAACTCCAAGGGTCTGGCTGGATGGGATCAAGCCCACCACGGAGGCAGCCGGAACACACCTCATATTTGC